CCCCAAAACCCCAAAACCCCAAAACCCCAAAACCCCAAAACCCCTCTATGCTTTCAAAGAGAAAATTTGAATTAATGATTAGATAATTTAACATAATTTTAACGAATGCTTAGAGTTTTCTAGCTTAGAAATAAGATAAAGATAGAACCTCTGAAATTCTAATCTCTTCACTAACTCTTTTAGTAGTAATAGTTGTGATGAGACTAGAGTATCTTTTTTCTCAGTTCCTTCTTCCTTTTGTGGATATCAGCATAGAGCTTGTTTCTATACTCTCTGATTGAGAATTTTTGGTTGTCATCAATTGGAATGTTGATTTTCTTAGTGCAGTTGGGTTCATCATCTGGGTTGTGGAACTGGGCGACATAGGGATGCTTCAAAGCTTACTCAGCTGAAAGTCTCTTGCTTGGATTAAATTAGAGCAAGTTTCTCAATAAATCAAGGGCATCATCTGATGCAGATGGGAATATATCTCTAAGTCTTTTAGCTTTCTTTGGAGGTAATTATTCTAGCATGGTCATTGCTAAAGGGCAATCAACAGATTCGATATCCTCCTAAGTTGGTCTGCCAATTACTTCCATAACTCTGTCTAATTAATTAAGTGTGCTTGTACCAGGAAAAACTGGCTTTCCTAATAAAAGTTCTGCCAAAATGCAACCAAGACTCCACATATCTACTCCCTTTGTATATCTGTTTGATCCAAGTAGAATTTCAGGAGCTCTATACCATCTGGTTGCTACATAATCTGTCAGAAGAGGGATAGTGTCTGGATCCTTCACATCAAGTGATCTAGCAAGACCGAAATCAGCAACCTTCATGTGACACTCTGAATTCAGGAGTAAGTTACTTGGCTTAAGGTCACGATGAAGTAACTGACATGAATGCATATACTTAAGACACTTAAGAACTTGATAAATGATGTACTATTTGTGAATATCTTCTAGTATGTTTGCTCTGATAACTGCATGAAGATCAGTATCCATAAAATCAAATACCAGATAAATATCTCTGTCGTTTTCAGCTCTAATTACGTTTTGAAGTCTGATGATATTTTCATGGCCATTTAGTTCCTGCAGAAATATGATTTCTCTGAAAGTTCTTTGGGCATCAGTAGCGTTCTGAAAAGCGTCAAAGTTCTTTTTCAAAGCCACAATGTCCTTTGTTTTTTTATCAATAGCCTTCCAAACAATACCATATGCTCCCTTTCCTATTAATAAGTTTAATAAAGTCTTGATGTGCTAATGTTATTTCGATGGATGATAAGTTACCTAGTTTTTAAAGAATTTCGTATTTTTTGAGAACGTGAGCTTCAACCTCTTCTGTCATTTTAAAATAAGAAAATTTATAATAATTTAGTTTCAATCTCTTTTCTAATTCTTTAACTGTGACTATCTAGTGATCCTGGGGTTTTGGGGTTTTGGGGTTTTGGGG